TCGCAGCCTGACCGGAGAAGGCCTATGGGGATTCGCGTCACCTTCAAACAACTGCGAAACTACTTGGATGGAGTCACCCTATGGACCTGGAGACCGGCACTCTTAACCTGAAAGACCTCCAACTGGAGACCTCCAACATCGAGCAGCTCCGACAATACGGTCCAGGACATCATCTTCACCGCAGTCGCCAAGGCGCGGGTTGATGGTATGGACCGGAGTTCCTGGAATGGGAAGACCGATATTTTCTTCGTCCCCGGGCTGAAAGTGAACGCTGTTACATCGAATAGCTCGAGGAGAATATCCTGCCTTCATGTCGTCGCCTGTACCTTCTTGGAAACTTCGTACTGCTACAGGATTGGGTGCCAGCACATGAATGAAGGGCGTTGGAAAAACTCTCGCCTACTTGGAATCGAAGGGCGTTGAGTACCTGAAGAAGACGGAATATCCAAGTGTGTCACCTGACCTAAACCCCCTCGATTACCGGGTTCGGGCGGAGCTCAACAGGGTGGTCTACAGTGGGAGAAATCAACGACCTCGCTGAACTCAGGTACCGAATCACGGTCGCGTGGCAGAATTTCTCGATGGCGTGCGTCAGAAGGCTGTGGGTGGAAATGTCCAATCAAAATTCAATAAAGTGTTACCTACATCGCCTTGGAAGCCGAGGAAGAAGTGTCTTTTTTTATTGCCCCCCCCCTGTAACGTCATTTGAACTCCAGAGAATAAAGGTTTATTTGCACATAATAGAAATCAATGAGAACAATCTTTGAGTATGACGAAAAACATAGAAAGATTCATCTTTGTGATACAAAAAGCTCCAAGAGGGACGTTCATCTTTGAGACGTGAAGACAACACCTGCGTTAATTGTCTATATGATAGGATCCCACAATAAATTATTAATTCGGAACAAAGTACACTTGGTACTACTGCACATATCACCAGAAAAGAAAAAGACAAAAAGTTCAGAGAAAAAAAACGATTGAGAACTGTCCAAACTAGTAAAGAATCACATGATCAGACAGTACTCGCAACAAAAAATGGCTTGTTCATAATACCGGTGTGGGCGCTGCTTCACTTACTGTAGTACACACGGTAATAAAGGGTTTTCGATCGCCAAAGCGAATAAGAGTTGTCGAATTTCAGAAGATACACGCCTCTTCCAGGATAACTGTGGCTTCCTGCGTACACCTAAACACAAAAAAAATCATCAGTAGTCATGGACATGCAAAAATAAACAGCTCCACCTCTTCGTGACAATCTCTCCTGTACACGGGAATAATCTCATCCTGTTTGGGCTTGCTTGGATCACGGATACGTCGGTGCGGACCACCGCTTTCAACATCTCCCACAGCTGGATTTCCTTAAAAAAATCACCCAGTCGGTGAAATCAGAACAGAAACATTTGTGCGATCTAAGCACTCGTCAGGGAAGTCCGCCAACCTGCCATGGAACGCTGAATGGAGACCTGGGTAGATCGATAGAGTCTGTTATTTACAAATATAGATAGCAAAACTGCAACCTGCATTTCACAAGCAACTTATGAGCAGGTAAAGTTTGTAATGGTGCAGTAGGGTGGAGGCTTGGTGGTGAGCTGTGAAGCATAAGCGAGGAATCGCATACGTCGAATCGAGTCGTGGTGGTTCAGTGGTAAGGTTCGACGTTCGACGACTCGATTCGACGTATGCGATTCCTCGCTTATGCTTCACAGCTCACCACCAAGCCTCCACCCTACTGCACCATTACAAGTTACCTGCTCATAAGTTGCTTGTGAAATGCAGGTTGCAGTTTTTCCTAACTATAATCTTTGTAAATAATCAGACTCTACCGATCTACCCAGGTCTCCATTCAACGTTCCATGGCAGGTTGGCGGACTTCCCTGGTCAGGACTTCGACCAAAGTGAAAATATTATTGTGTATATCAGATTTCAATAAAACTATTCCTCCTTGGCCTCCCTAACACCTGCACTGCTTTTGACAAACTGATGAAAAATAGAAGCCAAGGCAGTTAGGCTTGGGGCGAGGGAGGGCATTTTGCATGTGCGCTAGATCTCATCGTCGTGTTCATAGTTCTACAAGAGCTGACCGTTATTCTTTACAAAAGTTGACAAGTAGTTTCCGCAAACTTTGAGTGGTTTCACGAGATTTCACAAACCGTTACATGATGATTGGATACGACAACGGGAAATAGCGGAAAGGAAACCCCTCCTCCCTCCCTCTATCCTCCAAGCCAAACCGCGACCAGGAGCAAAACAAAAGACATTCAAAATCTCAAAACAAAAGACATTGAAAAACTGAGAGGCATTCGCAGTAAGTGAGGGAGACAGAGAAGTTAGCTGAGGGATAGCTAAATATTGGTGGTCAAGAGAAAATGGACCTACTAGTAAAGAAAAAAGGAAGTTATTAGCAGAAAGCGAAAGCGACTAAAATTAAAAAATGGAAACTAGACAAAGATAAAAAAGTAGAGAAGGGGAGAAGTAGTGGGACAGTCATGGTAATAAGGAATAGCTTATACATATAAAAAAGAGATGAGTTTGAATGCAGGGTTCTAGGGACGAACAAATACGAATTAAGAGAAAGGCAAAATTTAATAAGAGGAAAAGAGCTAGAGGAGGAGAGGTCAAGGCAAGTAAAGAGTGTACAAATGGTGTGAAAGTAGCGGGAAATGGCTACAAACTACAGCCCTGTTCGCTGTAGGCGGGGCGTGTCGGAGGAGCTGGATCTGGCGCGGCGCCAACCCGTTACTTTTCCTATTTCCTGCAAGCGATATGAACTTATCATCGTTTGTATCAGCCGTTTTCCACCAATTTTTGCCGCTTAATTGCTTCAACATCTGATGAAGGACGGTGCTGACGGCGCGGCAAACACAGCCTCAATGACACGCCCGTCATTTGCAGCGAACAAGACTGTATCTAGCGAAATCTGCAAAAGCGCAATTCCAGCATTAATAAACTTAACGGTGGGAAGGGAACGTCAATGCAGAAAGTGCAAAGGGGCAGCATCAAGATAGAACGCAGAAAAGAAGCCAAAAAGGCAACATTCTGACAGATCAACTATTCCATACTTTATTTAAAGGCACATTCCGCGATAAAATAAGGCTACGATCTCTCAAATGTGTCGGACGATCCGGAAGGCGATTTTTGAGGCTGCGCTACTTTCAAAATGTGAAAAACGGCAAGAACTCCGCTAGAAGCTGACTAATTAGGCCCATGGACACCCCTTAGGCCCATGCCGACCCTCACCGGCTGCTAGCTACTAGCTAGTAGCCACTATGTTATCTTTCTCTATAACATTTCGGACTGCTTTTCTGCTGCTTTTCTCCGCTAATCAGATACTTAGCACTTTTTTGTGCCTATTTGAGTTACGCTCCGCAATTTGCGGGTCGCGAACTGTGCCTTTAAAGCCATTTCTCTGGCACTACCAAAGAATTCTCTTCAACGTAGAAAGCAAAAAATTAACGGTCCGTTCTTCACCTCATCTGATGATTGAGCGAATCTTCTGAGAACAATATAATACTTTACCTCCCGCAGGTGGTGGAGCTCCAGCTTCAACTCCCTCAGCAGTTGCCTCATCGTATTCATCTTCATCGTCGGACTCGCTCACGTGAATTGACACCTACGGCCGAGAATTAATCATGAGAATCTACTAGCGCTTCAAGGAAAATCGGTGTTTAAGTGGCTGTACCTGATTACTGTCAGCGATGGTCCACTCAAAATATACACCGAAGCCAATGTCATAGTAGTCAGTGGCGAACTCCCAGAACAGGCATGTTCCATCCTCATGAGTGGGAACTCGGACCTGGACAGCAATTAATATGAAAACAGCACTTATGTAAAAAAATAGCTGAAAGAAGGTTCTTCTTGGACGCAATTGTTCTCATGTGTTTCACGCTACTGTTTTTTTTTCTCAGTTCAACGGGGATAAAAAACTTAGAAGAACGGAAGAATTTGAAGTATTTCTGCCATTCGAATGGGTTTCTACCCTTTCATAGATCTTGAACTGGCGAATTCACGGTGCGTCGCAGGAAACTCCTCCCTAGGAATGACGTAGATTGCTGATTCTAGGCTGAAGCTAAGGGGGAGCTGCCGAAGCGATACACGGAAAGCAAAATGCCTTTCGAAAGGTTCTAGCCGAAAAAGTCGACACTATACCCCATTCGTAACTTACCGTCAAGCTGAAAGAGGCGTGTAGCTGGCCAGGAGCAGCAGTTCAAGGGGTTTTGATGAGAAGGTGTTTGGTCACAACGCCAGTGCGCTCAACGATGTGGTTTAACGCCCTTTGGTTTAACGTCATGGTGTGAATGTCGCGCGAGCGAAATCATTTGCGAGATCTCTTCTTCCGCCCTCGCTGCAAATCGTATATGTTTGTATCGATGACGTTTCAGTAGTGTCCTCAGTTTCAGTAGTGTTTCAGTAGTGACGAATCTCATAATAAATGCAGCCGGTGGAGCAGAAGAAAAACGAGAGCAAGTCCTTCTTGGCGTGGCATCCTCGCTTTGGAACGGGCTCTGGCTTTTGGTCCAACGGCAACCACTCCAGTTTCCTATCCGGGTTTTCGTACGAGATCCACTTTTCATTCTGAGCAGTTATGAAACTCGCTCAAGTCGTCGTTCGTTCTCGATCGAAGAGCTTCTGGCATAGATCGACCCTCACCGCACGTTCCCTTGCGGTAAGAGACCGCGGAATAGTTCCGGGCAAGAGCCGCGCGGAAGCCGTTCCTTTTCAAAATGCCGTGAATAGTGGATCGAGGAGTAGAAGTCGTCCTCTCCAACTCCCTCAAACTTTGGGCAGGATTGGTCCTCACAGAAGCCAGAACGATGTCAGTGTTGGAAGAGGGAGGGCGTCCGCATCGAGGTGCTTCATCGAGGCTAAACTCTCCCATTGCGAAGCGATCGTACCACCTGTAGCAGGTTGCAAGAAAGGGTGCATTGCCACCCATCGACGACAGCGACTCATTCCTCGCTTGAGTGGCGGAGCGGCCGGAACGGTAAAGATGAAGTAGGATGCGTCGACTGTAGTGTCTGTCGCACATTATTCGATTGGTTACAACAAAGGCCAATGACGAAATGAAATATTGATCAGCTGCTGA